AATCTTTTTTATTAATATTTTCTAATATGGCTAATTCTATATAGAGATCCGTTAGGTTTCTTCCCTGATCTTTTTTCAATTTTGTTCCAATTTTTATAAGGTTGGGGGATTAAATTTAAAAAAAAAATGTGTTAGTGTGTGTGTGTTAGTGTGTGTGTTAGTGTGTGTGTGTGTGTGTTTGTGTGTGAGTGTGTGTGTGTGTTAGTGTGTGTGTGTGCTTGTGTGTTAGTGTGTTTGTGTGTTAGTGTGTGTTTGTGTTAGTGTGTGTGTTTGTGTTAGTGTGTGTGTTAGTGTGTGTGTGTTTGTGTGTTAGTGTGTTTGTGTTAGTGTGTTTGTTTGTGTTAGTGTGTGTGTTTGTGTGTGTTAGTGTGTGTTTGTGTTAGTGTGTGTTTATGTGTTAGTGTGTGTGTGTTTGTTTGTGTTAGTGTGTGTGTCAGTGAGTGTGTCTGTTATTGGGTGTGTGTTACTGTGTGTGTCTGTTACTGAGTGTGTTTGATGTCTGTTAGTGAGTGTGTGTTTGTCAGTGAAAGTGTATGTTTTGTAAGTGAGTGTGTATGTATGTCTGTCGCTGAGTGTGTCTGTCAGTAAATGTGTGTGTCTGTTAGCTAGTGTGTATGCGTCTGTTCGTGAGAGTGTGTGTGTGTGTGTGTCTTCAGCATTTACCTTTCTCCAGCGTCGGACTCCATTGGCGCTGAGGATCCCTCCGCCTCTCAGCTCCGAATGCACATGCGCGGCAAGAGGCGTGCGCGCGCATTTAAACCACCCATAGGAAAGCATTACTCAATGCTTTCCTATGGACATTCAGTGTCTTCTCACTGTGATTTTCACAGTGAGAATCGCGGAAGCTCCTCTAGCAGCTGTCAATGAGACAGCCACCAGAGGCTGGATTAACCTTCAGTGAAACATAGCCGTTTCTCTGAAACTGCTATGTTTTCAGCTGCAGGGTTAAAACTAGAGGGACCTGACACCCAGACCACTTCATTGAGCTGATGTGATCTGGGTGTCTGTAGTGGTCCTTTAAGTGTGTGTGCATACCGCGGTCGCGGGGTCGCAGCCCTGCAACCCCTGCGACCAGGTGCCCGCCGCGGCCCGCCCCAACCCACGCCAAGTAAGCACGGGGGGGGTTACGGATCAATTTTCGCACCGGGGTCCCATGGGTCATGTGTACGCCACTGCCTGCACCTACTACAGCCCATATCCCCCCTGTGACAGATTCATCTGCATTGTTGGTTTGTCTGTTTCCCTTTGTTCGCGGAATTACCTGTTCCTATACCCCCGTTCGTGTAATTTGCAGAATGCCGATTGAAACTACCGAACGAACGACCACCCAGGAGAGGAGTGTGCTGCTGGTTAACCTCTTGGCCCTAATTAGAACGTTGTGGTTAACCGCAGACACCTCTCCATTCCATTCGTACGGGTGGTCGTCGTTCGCATGTCGACCACGAGGCAGCGGCCATTTTGGGACATACGAACACAGAGCGGTGTTCGGTACAAACTGTATGGAACTAAAAACGGACACTTAAACTACCGAACACCGCTGAAAAGCTGCTGCCTACCTTCCTTTTCGACAAGGCATGCGAACGTCGGTCGTTCGGGAGTTTTATTCATTCGTATGGACTTTTACCCCGACAGCCATCCCATGGAGTCATTCGTATACCGAAGGACTGGTGAAAGACTTTGACTCCATGGCGATTCGACTAGATACATCGGATCTGAGCGCTGTTCGGTGAAAACATGCCCTCAGATCCAGGCTGTCTGGGGATACGTTACACGAACCATATGCATTCGGTATTTCTGTCATTATGTATTTTAATGTATTTTTGTTATTGTATTTCAAGATGGCGATTGTCTCTACCTTGAGAGATAATTAGGTTTCTTCCCAATTATCTCCGAGGTAGAGAAGACGGAATTATGGGCCAGATGGGAAGGGCTATTATTGAAGCCACTGCGATTGGCTACTGTCCAATATGATTTACAGTCTTCCACAAGGTCCCCTCGGGGAGTGTCCACCTTGTGGAGACCTGCATAAATACCGGGCAGGTAGCCCCCATTAAACAGAACTTCATTTGACCCTCAAGACGGAGCTTGGTCTCGTTTGTGGGGGGAATTATTACTGGGACAGCGCTTTCGTTATTTCTAGCTGTGGAAGGCGTTCGACTGTTTGGCTGATCGGGAGTTGCCGTGTTCGTGGACTTCGTTCGGGAGTTTGGCGATCGGCTGGATTTAAAACTGCATTTTTGGAGAAGGGGATTATTGCCTAAACGGCGGCTTCATCTACTCGACAGTACGTGTCGTAACACCCCCTCATGCACTGCAGCCACTATCCACACACATACTGCAGCCTCTGTATCTCCCCCACACAGTAGAGCCCCAGTATCCCCCTGATGCCTACTATAGCCCCTATCCCCCCCCACACACACACCAGCCCCTATCCACACACACTCTGGAACACAACCAGCCTCTCCACTAACATACGACACTGCAAACAGCTCCATCCACACACACACAAACCCACAAGGAACCTCACACATTCAATACCCCATGCAGCCTCCGTACACAGACACATCACAAGAGGCATCCCCAGCATGGCAATACTGCATACAGCCTCCTTATACACACAAACAATTACTAATATAGCACCAACAGATTCTGCAGCGCAGTACAATAGGTAAAACAAGACAAACAATGAATTCTTACTCAACATGTTGACATACAGGAACACAAGCAGCATCCCACACATGCAACCACACAAGTAGCCTCCAAACACATGTGGGGGAGGCTGCTTGTGATGTCACCAACAAACACAGAGGAAGGGTGTAATTACATCTGCTTTATTTCTTTGTTTAAGGGGTTGTGGGGGCGTAAGGCAAGCTAGTAAGGGGTACTCCACTCAAAAACAATGTTTTATTAAAACATTGTTTTTGGTTGGACTAACCCCTTAAAGTGGCCCTGTTTGGGGGACGTCATGCCGGGTAGCGCGCACATATTATCTGTGTGAGAGCTGCACAAAGACCTTGACACCATGACATAGGCACTGTCGTTATTCGGCAGCTGCTATTTTTAATGAGACTTAGACACCGTTTATCCTGTTGGAGTATAAAGTCCACAGCTTTATTAATTCTTATTAAATATATATAAATTAACATATTTAGGGTCATTGTCATCACTGACATTCTGTTACTATCCCCACGCACAATACCCATGACAATGACCCTACCACTTGAACAATAATTAACATTTAACTTGTAACACACGTGTTAAGACACCCCTGGCACAAAGGAGTGAAACCGCCGTTTAGTTAAGCTTCCCCTTTCGCAATAATGCAAGCTCCATTCGTATAAACTCCAACCGTACGAACTGCAATCAGGGAAATGCGCCAATCTCCCAAACGGGACCCGTACGGATGCTCCAAACTCCCGAACAATAATCCATGAATCGTTGCTATTCTATTATCCGCCTGAAAAACACATAAAAATAAGTAATTACACAACTACCGAACATATTATATTCGTGTAACACATCCCCAGATAGCCTGGATCTGAGTGCATATTCTTAGCGAATAGCGCTCAGATCCCATACGCACAGTTCAATCGCCATGGAGTCAAAGTCTATTACAGTCTTTCGGTATGCGATTGACTCCATGGGAAGGCTATCTGGGTTAAGTCCATTCGTATAATCCAAACTCCCGAACGGCCGGTGTTGGCATGCCTTGTCGACTGAGAAGGGCGGTCTGCGGGTTTCAGCGGTGTTCGGCAGAAAGAGTGTCCGTTTTTAGTTCCATAGAATCTGTGCCGAACACTGCTGGTCTTTCGCATGGTTTAAAATGGCCACCGCCTCGTGGTCAACATACGAACGACGACCAGCCTGCATTCGGTTGTAATTAAGAGGTGTCTGCGGTTAACCACAACATTCTAATGGCCGAACGGACGGCCACCCAGAAGAGGAGTGTGCTGCTGGTTAACCAGCAGCACACTCCTCTTCTGGGTGGCCATCCGTTCGGTAAGTTCATTCGGTAGATAGACAAACAGACGAATAAGGGTATACGGACAGGCAACTCCACGAAAAGAAGGCAAAATAGACGAACCAGCAATAATAGTTATACAGATGGGTCTGTCACAACACTGCCTACCAAAGAGGCCCTATATCCATACTGTTAACTGTAGGGGTGTACCCAGACACCCCTACCCCCTAGGTTCGTAGCCACCGAAGAGCTTGAACCTACCAACACTCACTTCCATCTGGCCTACTCCAGCCTCGGCCTTGGCCTGTCCACTTCCAATTCCAGCAAACTTCCGACTTTACCACGCCCTGTTCCGCCATAGCACATGACTTGATCCATTAAGGACATGTGCGACCCTCACCACACAAAAACAGGGCCCGGCTACTACCTTCCTGAAAGCCTAGATCAGTGATGGCGAACCTATGGCACGCGTGCCACAGGTTGCACGCCGAGCCCACTCTGTGGGCACGCGGCCATAGGTTCGCCGGATGGATGGTGCGCTCCGCCGGCGCATCCATAAG